TACATCAGTGAAATAGCCAAGAGGCAAAGAGAAAAACGTTTACGGGCACTCTCCAGCTGGTTTTAAAACGGTCGCTAATTCCTGTTGTGCATCAATCCTCCTCTTAACACAAACCATTTACTCTGTTTTATTTTAGCCAAACCTGTGCTATCCCAACTTCCTTCCACTTCACCAAGGTCCAAATTCGTTCTCTGAGTCGCTATCTTATCCAACAAATCCTCATAATTGAGTGCCGCTATTTCGCGAGGCATCACACGCGCTTTGCTCTCATCAATTGACTCTTCATTCTCCAATGGAATCCTATGCAATTTCTCAATAAACGAAAGCTGTTTCCCAAGTCTCTGCTGAATCCTTCCAATATCATTTCCCTCAACTGATAATCCTGACAATTTTAGCAATTTCTTCACAGTATCTTCACTAGGCTGTTCCAGTGCTGAATTGGGCGAATCTGACAGATATTCTTCCACTGACCATGTCTCTTTGGACAAATATTCTCCAAGTTCCTCGGTAGACTTTAATTTCTCGCCAACCCACGCTTTAACCGCATAAGAACGACAAACTACCCGACCAACACAGATGCCTGACCTTATCCCACACAACATAGCCACCATACAGGCTCCAGATCCACTACAATTGGTCTATTCATCATCACTTGATGGTTCTTTAAAGATTGATGAACTTATGAAGGCCTTCGTGCGACGTGACATGATCGTTTAAAGTGACCTTGGAAATTATTCGTGCGATGTGATATTTTCGTTCAAAGTGATCTGGTGAAAAACTTGGAAAATTTGCAAAAAGACGATGAGATGAGATGAGATGAGCTCTACGATGATCAGTTGAAAGGGCTTGTATCGTGTCATTGAAGATCAATTGGTGTTTGATTGAATTGTGCAAGTGTAAATTTATTGGCCAATGAGGATTAAAAAGAAGAATACTAGCGGTAATGCTAGAAATTTCATGACAAGATCTCAAGCAGTTAGGAAATTACAAGTTTCATTAGCTGATTTCAGAAGGTTGTGTATCTTCAAAGGGATCTATCCTAGGGAGCCAAGGAATAAGAAAAAGGCTAATAAGGGATCAACTGCTCCTACAACTTTTTATTATGCCAAGGATATTCAGTATTTGATGCATGAGCCAGTGCTTGCGAAATTTCGGGAGCACAAGACATTTGCCAAGAAATTGACCAAGGCTTTGGGTAAAGGTCAGGTATCGTCTGCAAAGAAGTTGGAAGAGAATAGAAGCAGTTATAAACTTGATCATATTATTAAAGAACGTTATCCCAGCTTTCCTGATGCACTTAGAGATATTGATGATGCATTGAATATGTTATTTTTGTTTGCGAATTTGCCGGCAACTGATCAGATATCTTCTAGTATTACCAGAGAGGCACAGGCGATCTGTAATCAATGGTTGGCGTTTGTTGCCAAGGAACGTTTAGTGAGGAAAGTTTTTGTTTCGATTAAAGGTGTGTACTATCAGGCCGATGTGAGGGGAGAAGAAGTGAGATGGTTGGTCCCTTTCAAATTTCCTGAAAATATTCCAAGTGATATTGATTTCAGGATTATGCTTACTTTCTTGGAATTTTACTCAACACTATTGCATTTTGTTCTCTTTAAATTGTACACTGATAGTGGATTGGTGTATCCGCCTACTTTAGACACTGAAAAGGATAAGATAATAAGTGGGCTTTCATCGTACATTTTAGAGTCGCAAGAGAAGAAAAATTCACTTGTGGCAGGTCAAACTGACTCTAAATCGACTGCCGAGGCGAAAACTTTGGATTCTGCCACATTGAAATCCGCACAAGATTTGGACGATGCTAACCAGGAAGTGGAAACACAGGAAGCTGCCGACGAGGGCGAGACCGTTGAATCTGCAGAGTTAGATACTTTCCAAGATAACAACAAGAATAAGGGGGACATTTTGCAACAGCCTGCTGAATTCAATTCACCAGTCTCGACATTATTTTCCAATTTTGTGTTCTACGTTGGTAGAGAAGTTCCTATGGATATCATTGAGTTTCTAATTCTCTCCTGTGGTGCTACTGTCATTAGTGAGGCATGTCTGGACCAACTCGATCAGAACAAGGATATTGACCTTTCAAAAGTAACTCATCAGCTCGTTGATAGACCCGTGTTGAAGAGCAAGGTTCCTGGCAGGACATATATTCAACCTCAATGGGTTTTCGACTGTATCAACAAAGGTGAGCTGCTTCCTGCAAATCTTTACTTACCGGGCGAAACTTTACCACCACATTTGAGTCCATGGGGTGACCGTGTTGGTTACAATCCTGACGAAGAAGATGGTGATGAGGAAGAAGAAGAAGAAAGCGAAGGTGAAGAAGTTACTGAGGACCAAGCAGCCGAACAGCAAACCGAATTAGACGCAGAAGAGTCCGAAGATGAAGAGCTCGCTGCTCAAAAGGAACTTGAACTAGAAGCACAAGGTATCGCATTTTCAGAAGCCGCAAAGGAACCTTCAAAACCAAAGAACAAGAAGAGGAAGAACGTCTCTGAAGAGGAAGAGGAGAAGAATTTGAAGATGATCATGATGAGTAATAAACAGCGTAAACTCTACAAAAAGATGAAATATTCCAATGAGAAGAAGGAAGATAAAATCAATGAATTGAAGAAGAAGAGAAAACAGATATCAAAGGTTAAAGGTAAATTACAGAACCTAGAGAAGAAATGATCAAACATTTCAGGATATAACTTATTATCATATGTACATTAATTTGAGATCATTACTCGAACCTGTTCATAAATTATCGTTCAAATAATCCAATCTTGAATCCATAGACTTTCTATCCGGTACTGATAAATCAACGTAGCCTTGTAAGTCTTTTCGCAAAGCTACAAGTGTGTTTTCAGCTTGATTAATACGTTCGATATCGGTTCCTCTGCTAACGTTAACGAATGCCTTTATGAGATAACCACCTTTAGTGATCTGACACTTCTTTTCAACATCCCAAATCTTGTATATCACCAACATTAGGTCGTTCTTCAAATGGAACTTTACACCAATTGTAACGAACTTGTAGCTCTCAATGTAGCCCAATTCTTCGAGAAACTTGGACAATGATGAGTCTTGCCCAGCCACTGAAAGTATAACAGACTCTGATATCGTTTGTACTGAGACTTTTCGGCTACCGCCTGCCGCTGGTATATCAGAAATGGTCAAAGCCCATGGTGAATCATCATCAGTCTCATTAGATGCAACGCAATCCAACTCAATGGGTAAATCTTTATCAGCAAACTCTTTCAGTAAACTATATGACAACTTCGAGCTCTTTTCCGGTCCAACGAGCAACTCTAATGGTAATTCCCTACTCAACCTTATCCTATTCAGTTCAACTAGCTGATTCTTAGAGTTTGATCGTTCAATATCGTAACCATCATTAGGTTTCCAAACTCTCGATAGGTTACTAAACAGTACCGGTGGATTACCAGCCATAATGGTCATTGTAGAGATAAATAATTCAAACGAATCATCATCAATGCATTGGAACAAGCTTAATTGATGTACCATAACGATTCACCTCTTCCTCGTGTCTATCAAACTAGTGTATAATTTTCCAACCTGTTAACTTAAAGGTTTAAAGGTTGATTAACCTTGATATATCATACCATTGATACCCGTTAAGACGTTATGACAGTTGACGTTCCTCGTACAGTGATCCAGAAACTGATGTTCTTCACCGTGGCCATGGTTGCATTACCATTGGTTACTTTCTTTGGTGTACAACAGTATACAAGCAATACCTTGGTGAGTGGTGGATTAGCAGCTGCAATGGCTAACGTTGTGTTGATAGGTTATGTGATTGTAGCGTTCTCAGAGGATACTAGTCAACTTGAAGAGACCAAGAAAGAGAAATGACCAGCTTATTGTCAAGTTTATATCTGTGTACATATTGGCATCCTAGCGGTATGCTATGATCTACTTTGTCTTCTTTAATGGGTTTGTTGACCTCTCTAATGCACCATAGCTGATCTGTAAGCTGTTCATCCAAGAGATCGCGACGATGAGAATCGCGATCAGTAGTAGCGAGACAATCAAACACATAATCAGACCTTCGGTCCAAATGGTACTCAGGACGTCGTTATCTGGTTGCTTTTCCTGTTCGACTTTAGCCCTACGGTCGGGAGCACGATGTGAGTTGGTTGTCCGTACCACATTCAATACAACGGTTTCGATACCGTTGACTGAGTCGGCTAAGAACAGGTAAGCGGACTCCATAAACTCGTCCACTTTTGCAAGCTCGTAGTTTGGTCTCTCGAAATTGAACACAACAACAGTTTTTCCCTTGAGATAGTAGTTGTAAAGCAGTTCCGATGCGGATAACGTTAAATCGCCCAAATTGAAAATTTCACTGTAGGATACATCCTCAAGGGTGAAATCGTCTTGGTAAGAGTCTCCAGACTCCAAAAAGCTGGCTAAATATGGTGCATGTCCCTCATCTAGTCTCCATTCCTCTACAATTGGGTAATTTGTGAACCGGAAAATAACTAATGGAGAATCCTTACTGGCTTGTGATATTAGTTCCTTGACACTAGTCGCATCTCTATCGCTTTCTGACCTTAACGAAACGTAAGATGTACTTGCAACCACTGGTGACACAATTTGCAACAAAAAAGCCACCAAAAGACCCAAATTTCGACCAATCATGATTAACACCGTCTATCGAATACTCTCAAACCCAATGACCACTTCAAAACAGCCTCTTGATGCCTTTAAAACGTATCTATAAAAGTGTTGATGGTCCCCTTCTATAATGGTTGTATAAAGACTGCCTTCGTCAGACATGATCCCCATATCCATAGCTATTATTCCATCAAATACTCCAAATCATGGTTCCTATCCAGCTGATTAGACATGCAATGCATTAGTTTAGCCTATTATTGTGTCCTTGCAAAGTCCTGTCTTGTTAGCATTGTTTTCAACAACACTCCTTTGGTCTAGTTGTACCGCTTCATTAACGTTTACTTCCAACAGCTTATTAAGGTACTCTGGCCGAGTGGTTTAAGGCGCCAGGTCGAGGTCCTGGTCTCTTCGGAGGCGCGAGTTCGAATCTCGCGGGTATCATTAATTTTTTTTTTCAACCTTGCAAGCAAAGGTTAGTTAACCTTTGATCATCTCATCTTGACAATTTAGCATTCTTTGACTGTGTTATTGCGAGTAATACGACCTTGTTTAGCAGTTGTTATAGACTCTTTAGTGTTGTGATGTCTTTACAAGCGATTAAATTCGATAGAAGCAGGCCCGATGCCGTTGATGTAAAAGTTTTGGATCAATTATTGCTTCCCTACACTACCAAATATATTCCTATCCGGTCTATAGATGATGGTTATTGTGTGATAAAGACTATGCAGGTCAGAGGTGCACCTGCAATTGCTATTGTGGGAACTTTGTCCGTTTTAGCTGAAGTGCAGCTCTTGCAGTTGGAGAGTTTTGCCCGTAATCAATGGTTTTATGATCTGAATAATTGGGAAGCTGTGCGTTCGAAGCTTTTGGACCGGATCACGTTCCTGTTGAGTAGTCGACCAACTGCCGTTAACCTTTACAATTCCGTTAAGGATATTCGTCAGATCGTTAGCAGTTCACCAGATATTAAGGCACTAGATCGTCAACTATTCAACTACAGCTGCCAGCTCATCGACCAGGATCTGGCAAACAACATGAAGATGGGTGATAATGGAGCTTCTTTTTTATTAGAAGATTTACAAAAGCAAGGCTTTGAAGAAGATTTTGCAGTTTTGACCATCTGTAACACTGGTTCGCTAGCCACTTCGGGTTACGGAACTGCTCTGGGTGTCATTCGCTCTTTGTGGAAGAAATCTGAACAAAGTTCGCCATCCATCAGTGCTAATAAAAAAGCCAAGTTGTCACCACGTACTCCCAGATTGAAGCACGTATTCCCGCTGGAGACAAGGCCGTACAACCAGGGTTCACGCCTGACTGCCTACGAACTGGTTCACGATAAAATTCCTACCACTTTAATCACAGATAGTTCCATCGCTTACAGAATCAAGACAAGTCCATTGCCCGTTAAGGCGGCATTTGTAGGTGCCGATAGAATTGTTCGCAATGGCGATACTGCCAACAAGATTGGTACCTACCAGCTAGCCATCATCTGCAAACAATTCGGCGTCAAGTTTTTCGTAGTGGCTCCCAAGACTACTATCGATAATGTCACTGAAACCGGTGAAGGTATAATCGTTGAGCAAAGAAAACCCAATGAATTCAGACTTGTCACTGGTACTGCAATTGATGCCACTACTGAACAACCTATTTTGTCCGCAGCTTCTGAACCGCAATCTGCCAAGATTGGTATAGCACCACCAAATGTCGAAGTTTGGAATCCTGCCTTCGATATCACACCGCATGATCTTATCGATGGCATTGTTACTGAAGAAGGAGTTTTTACCAAGAGCAGTGATGCGAAATTCCATCTGGACAAGTTATTTTGAGTAAATAGTTCATACTTGAAAAGACTAAGAAGCTCGATATTCTAGCATACAACTCTTGAATCGTAGCTCTCTAGAACTAAGCATTTTATAGTAGTCTTGCTAGAGACAAAAAAAATAAGAACTCCTCATAGGGGGCTCGAACCCCTGACATTTCGGTTATCCTTGATTTAAGCAACGCTTAAAAGCCGAACGCTCTACCAACTGAGCTAACAAGGACGAGTTCTTGATTTTGAATTTTTAACACTCAATATATGCATGCCTTCATCCTCTGATGCAGATCAACGCGGCTCTCATCTTGAGAAGTCCCCGTACTCTATATGGTTTGACAATGAATTGAAACTTGTTGTTTGTAATTCATTCGCACAGTTCACGCTTGTTTTGAAATTCGATGATCTACGTTGGACGAATCGGGAAAAAACTCGAGATCGTAAGATGTACCAAAAGGGTAACAGGTAAACAAGGGTGCCCAATTAGTATAAATGTCAACAAACAGTCAAACTCGAGATTCTTTGTGTAATAACGTTGAACTGGTAGAGAATATGATCGAGTAAAGCTGGTACGCCGGTTGATCCTCGTATTGCCAGTTCTGTACCGTTGGAACGTTCCCTCCCTGTCTGTGAGAGATTAAAAAATTGTGTTCTTGGAGCTGGCGTTACTACCAGTATTCAAAATCGACAGACCTCAAAGCAATTAAGCCCTGAAAGTCTTTAAAGTTGGATATTGTATCTCAACCTATTGCGGGAAAAGAGAAACAAAGCCTACTCCTACATTTTCTCTTTGATTGAGGATTATTTTATTGATTGTTTCTTTAAAACTTGATCAATCGATTGTGATCAAAGGATACAAGGGTTCTTTGGACTGCTCTTAGTTTGCTTTCTCGTTGATTGCCAGGAATAGTTTGGGCTGATTTTAAAGAGTCAACTGGTTTGTCTTTTATTCTTCAGTCATTCTATTCATGTCTTCGTCATCAGAAAATATTGAAAGCACACAGAATGATAGATCGGTTAGGATATCTCGTAATGCACCACGTCCAGCGTTGAATAATGTCACTAATACAATTGTGTCACAACAAAATACAGCACAGCAATCGTCGATTAGAAATTTGAAAAATGCTCTAGCCAAGAGGGAGAGTAGTCGAATTCCACAATACAATAGGGATTCATTCGTTCGGTCTATCCTATCAAGTGGGAAGAACTTAGCAAACAAATCAGAAAAATTAAATGAAGTTAGCTCTTCATCTTCAGATTCAAGCAAGCTGAGCTCATCATTGGGTTCAGAAAATAAAGAGAACCAAGCTCCACTTCCGTACGTTGCTAATGCTAGAAGTTTACCTTCTATCGAAGAAGAGACTCGAGATAAGAATCACGAAAAGAGTTTATTGCCAGAATCACAATCATCTTTAAGCAGTAGTGAATCAGAGATAGAAGGTCCTCCCAGCAGAATATCTGCAAGAACTTTTGATGCTGGGAAGAAGAGGCCAATTTCCACAGTTGTAGAGCAAGATGTACCCAAGAAGTTCAAAGTATGTGGTGAAGATGGTCAAGAAGAATACGAATGGGAAGATTTAGATGCAGAGGACTCAAATGATCCGTTTATGGTAAGCGAATACGTCAACGATATTTTCGATTATTTGAGTCATCTAGAAGTTGTGACATTACCAAGAGAGGAGGACCTCTATAAGCATAGAAATATACGTCAGAATAGAGATATTCTGGTTAATTGGTTGGTTAAAATCCATAATAAATTTGGTTTACTGCCGGAAACATTATACTTGGCGATTAATACCATGGATCGATTTTTGTGTAAGGAATTGGTACAATTGGATAAACTTCAATTGGTTGGGACATCCTGTTTATTCATTGCATCCAAATATGAAGAAGTTTATTCACCAAGTATTAAGCATTTTGCATCTGAGACAGATGGTGCTTGCACTGAGGAAGAAATCAAAGAGGGAGAGAAATTCATATTGAAGACACTAGGTTTTAATTTAAATTATCCAAATCCAATGAATTTCTTGAGAAGAATTTCCAAAGCAGACGATTACGATATACAATCACGAACACTTGCGAAATTTCTTCTTGAGATCTCTTTGGTAGATTTCAGATTCGTTGGTATACTACCGTCACTTTGTGCCGCAGCTGCAATGTTTCTATCAAGGAAAATGCTGGGTAAAGGTAAATGGGATGGCAATTTGACTCATTACAGTGGTGGATATACCAAGGCTCAATTAGCTCCTGTATGCCATATGATAATGGATTATTTGGTGAGCCCAATAGTGCATGATGAATTCCATAGAAAATATCAATCCAGGCGTTTCATGAAAGCTTCAATAATATCTGTTCAATGGGCACTAAAAGTAAGGAAAAACGGGTACGATATAATGACATTGCATGAATAGAGCAGGTATGATCAACTGCATTTCAAAAACCCAGTAAGAAGGACTATTATTGAAAGGCCATGAAAGTCTAGGCAAATACCATTTTGCAAGCAAGAGGATCTCCTAATTAAACTGATGGATCTGTAATTTCAACTATTATTTCATTTCGTTTTCCGATGTAATTTAATACCATTTTATTGTTAGTAATCTTTAATTAATGTTGGAAGAAACGGGCAAAGGTTAAAGTGGTTAATAGCTTCATTATTATTCTATGCTACAGCGAAAACAGTGAATCTAGTTGAACATTGTTATCTACTTGGTTTTTGCACCATTGAGAAACTTTAAAGTAAATCGCACCGTATCTTGGTTTCTTAAATTTTAAGATCAATGAGTCTAGTTTTGTCGTTGGGTTAGCGATTTCCTTGATAACTTTCTTGCAATTAGATTGAAATTCTGTGTCAGAGAATGGACGAATACCTCCACTGTAATGCACAAAAGTTTCATCCCATATTGGCTTTGTCTTGTCTTGTTGAGTTATTCTCTTTGCAATAAACATTGCCATTGCACTTGTCACTGATGGTTTAATGTCAACAAACCTGTGAGAGCACATGATGAATTCAAGGATGAATTTAGCAATTGATCTTGTTTGTAAATCATAACGGTCAGCTTTTGAGATTCTTCTGAGAAAATTCATTGGGTTTGGCCATCCTATGTTAAATTCTAGAGATGTCAACATGAACATCTCTGCGTTCTTGATATCGCTCTTGGAAGCAGCTCCATCTGTAATATATGCGTAATCGGCTAATTTGGGTAAATTCACTTCTTCAAATTTAGCCGCTATGAAAAGTGAAGTGACCGCTAGTAATTGTAGCTTACTCAAAGTGACTTTATTCTTTGATAAAAATCTATCCATAAGATTGATTGTGAGAAACAATGTCTCGGGATAGCATTGAAACTTTTCATGAACCTCTACCAACCAGTCGATCAAAATTGCTCTCATTGATGGCCTTAAATAATAAGGCGATTGTGTATCTGTTAGATAGTTATGCAACGGTATAGTTTCTCGTTCCCTGTGGTAAAGATGATCAAAGATTTCGTTTGTATACTCCACAACCATGCAAATATCCGTCCTCTCATCAGAATCCAAATCTCTCCAAAGAGGTTCATCAGAGTCCGATTTCTGTTTCTTGCTCCTGGAAGCCTCCTCTGTCTCACCATTTTCATCCTCTTGGTCCCTA